AGTCATCTAATGTCCATTTTATGTACTATATATGCATAATCACTTTATAGTCTGCTATAGCACAACATATTTCAATAATTATTAACCCAATAATTATTAACCCAACAATTTATAACAATTATTTTATTAATTGACAACAATTATTTTATTAAAATATTGATTCTTTTAACAATTATTTTATTAATAACAATTATTTTATTAAAATATTCATTCTCTTCATTGCTGAAATCTAACATTGATCATGTGGCAGTCCCACTTTATGGTTTGTTGCAGGCAAAGAAGCATCCAACTAGCCTTTGACACCCTAGTCTGTTTTTAATGTTGTTAATATTAACTCGTTAACTGGAAATGTGAAAGTGCCGAAATGTGCCCTACTTAGTATTTACTCTGTCTAATGCCAGACGATTAATTACTCGTCGTCTGGATTGGCAGGCCGACTCGCCAACATTTTTGGAAAAAAGAGTGGCCCAAAACAAATTTGCTGCAGGGCATCATCGGCTTTTGCAGGGGAATTCTAGCAGACACCCCTTAATTAAAATGGGCGGTGGTCAACTCCAAAGGGAAACACAGTTATTGGATTGAGTTCATTATTCATAATTCATTATATTAATTATTCACCTTGTATTCAATAATCAATAGCAAATACAGAACATTTAACAAAAGGCATATATAAAAGCGACAAACGTGCAAAGTTGACCAGCATGTGTTTTCCTATGAATATGTCACCAATATTTATTAAATACTATGCCACATGTGGGCTATATTTTTCCCTTGGAAAATTTCCTTTAAAACTAGAGGGCACTCAGAGACTGCATACCTCCGCCCGTTACTCGGAAGTGAAACGCAACCTTGGAATTTTCTAAGAAATCCACTTTATAATTCTTAAGCATAAAAGATTTCAGGCCCCCGCGAATTGAAATCGAATTGCTAATAGAACATATTACTGTTGTTGTACTGTACAGTACTTGTAAAATAAAAACTTATTAAGTGTCATTAAATAAATGCATAAATTTTGCTTTATGCACTCGCGCGTGCAGTAATTTTCACAGTTGTGCTATTTTAAATTCCCAGGCAGCTAAAATCTTTTGTCTTTAAAACAATGTCGATTTCTTGGGAAATTCCGAGGTTGCGTTCTTTTTATACACCCTGTATTGAAGTAATCTAATGTTGTTAGAATTTGAATGGACTGGCACTTTGCTGAACGTAATAATGCGTAACTCCGTAAGCCTTGTTTTAGACATTGAATTTCGGTCGCGTGAAATGCAACTAAGACAATAGATAATGAAGGCCGAAGCTTAATGAGGTTTATCATCTCATTACTGTCTTAGCACTGAATGCATAAATTATACACGTCCTAATTACGCATTCAGTAATATATTTTGTTAATTGACCGGGAAAAGCAAGACAAAATTTTGTTCATTTCTCGTTCAATTTTTAACCAAATTCAACCAAATTTTAATCAGTTCTTCCTTAGCCGATGGGAAATGCATTCAAAAAATTTCGTACGGATATGTTTGGTATTTCTTGAGTTATCGTGCTCACAGACAAACACACACACATACACACACACACACATACACACACACATACACACACACACACACACATACAAACCCAGATGATTACATAACCTCCTGGCGGAGGTAACAAACCCAGATGATTACATAACCTCCTGGCGGAGGTAAAAACCCAGATGATTACATAACCTCCTGGCGGAGGTAATGATTTTTAAATTAACCCCAAATAGGTAATAAAAGTAAATATATATTTCGATTTTCACATACCTATTTATGGATATAACAATTTTTAAATCTCCATTTGTTTATTTGTAATGCATCGTAATAATGATGTCTTTATTGCGTTTATATTATTATTATTATTATTATTATTAAGACTTTATTTCATGAGGGTAAACACTTGACAGTAAGTGTGAACTACTGATAAATTCGTGGCCCTCCTTACATAACTACAATTAAGCTAATACAATACTAAAACGTATAACTAGGTTACCCACAGGGCAGTAATGCTGCCTTTGACAGCAAAAGACAAACTACAGGGTGTTGAACGAGTCCTTCAGATACATCCTATTATTGTTATCCTAGCCTGCGTAGCGGCTCTCAGAGAAAGTAGAGCCTGCACGAAAACCCATGCTTTCCCGTTTCCGCCCACTTAGCCCGCGGGCTACGCCCACTTTAAACAGATGTCCGCAAAATTGGCCAATCACACAGATTGTTTACGTTTGCAATTGTTTACGTTTGCAAAATTGGCCAATCACACAGATTGTTTACGTTTATCAAAATGAAATATAAATATAGATTGCTGTATGTTCGCAAATTTCAAAACGAAATACTGTAATATACGGATGGTGGCTAAAGAAAATTGAAGTCTGTGGGAATAGCGCTAGGCCTAGGGCAATCTCCATCGTTGTCACAAGTAGTTTGCAGTCCGTATCTACGATATTTCGTAGCTTTCTCGCACACGTACAAATATAATTTATAGTTTCGACAGCGGTCAACTGTGATGTATTAAATGTTAAGTTTCTAGCGATGCTGAGAAGAGAATATTAAAGGTGTTTAAAGCCATCAATTCACAGAGAGCAAGTCCTGTTCATAAGACATAAGCATTTATAGCAATTCTCTCCTGGCACAAAATTATTAGCTACAAAATCATGACGAAAAAATCTATTTGTCGTCGATGAATGTTGTGAAAGAGGCGCTGCTAACAGACAGCAATCCAACGAAGACACCACAATCAATATCTCTAGAGCTTCGTGAACCAAGTTCGTAACTACCTTTAATGTTCAACCATAAATCGTGGCCTTTAATATTAAGCTCTTTAGAAACGCCTCTCAATAATACATCCGCTAATCCGCCGTGTTTGTATGAATTTAGCATAAATTAGCATATTTTTTCATTTTGAACCAATCAGATTTCTCGTCCTCTGAGAGAACGAGTAAATACGGCAAAGCAGGGGGTTTCGTGCAGGCTATCCTTTCTCTGATAGCCGCTACGCAGGCTATTGTTATCCTTGTTATTAACCCATTTATTGACAGCACGGCCCTACCACTGACTGAGTATTAAAAATCGTCTGGCGTTGGGCAGGGTAAATACTAAAGTCATAGCCTGCTCGCAGGCCGTTGTCAGGCAGAGGCTGGGAGGAGCCTGTGAGCAGGCTAACTAAAGTCATTACTGTGCTGATGGATTAACAAGAGCCATTGGCAGATAGGTTTGTTAACCCATTTACTGGCAGTACCCTGTACCACTGACGAGTAAAATTTTCGGGCGCCGGACAAGGCCAACAAACTATCAGTGTGACATCCCAGTTTATATATTTATATACTCGGAAGATTGATTTCTCGGTAAATACAAAATTATTTTAAAGTATAACAACCAGCGAAGACGTAAGCCACTAACTACCCTGCGCGGCTGCGCGCAGACTATATAATGACATATATATGTTATCCGTCCGGTCCGTCCGTCGCCATCCGTGCGTCCGTCCGTCATTTATCCGTCCGTCCGTATCCGCGTTTTATCCAACTCGTTTTTAAAACACAAAAGTGCGGTTCGTCATGATCAACATTTTCAAAAGCGGCCAATTAGACCAGGAGTTAAAGGGCAATGACAATGACATGCAGGTGACATTTAACATTGCGTCTCACTAATTAAAATTTGCGTGTTTATTAATAATGTTTATCAAAGAAAGCAAAAATATATACAAGACAATCTCACATGTGAAATTTTTCACTTACGTACTGCCTTGTGATGCAGTACAAGTATAAACACCAAATGACAAAGCATTTGTAAATCCTAAAACATAATTAAATCATACGGCACATTCAAGATTTTAATATCGTATTTCAGCCGCGCGTTTATACTGCTTGGCGCATTCGCTGCGTTATATTCATTTATATACACAGAAAAGCATGTCATTGTCTTTGCGGACCATAGGCAAAAAGCATTCGTCAACCACATACCAAATTTAAGCAATCGTTAAATCATATACATGTCATGGAAAGAATATGAAAATAATGTTGAATGAAAGCTAGCATCGCGTATAATGTTAAAAGCACCGCATATAGTGCTCGAACCACTGCGTATAATTGCAAAAGCACCGCGTATATAAATGGTGAAAGCACCGCGTATAATGCTGGAACCACAGCGTATAATGCGGGAACCACCGCGTATAATGGCAAAAGCACCGTGTATAATGCCGAAAGCACCGCCGTATAATGCTGAAAGCACCCAACAAAATGCCGTTTGATCACTTTAAGCCAGCTATGGCTTTCCATAAAAGAAGACCAAAGATGAAAGATGATCACATTGCCTGTTTGCCTTATGCTTGACCGCGCTGCACCACGGTTAAAATTCACTGGTACCGTCATGCAATGCGCCAAATAGAAAATTTTGATATCGACCCACAAAACAAAATTAGGACTGCTGCCTTGCTCGCTCGCTTCAGGCTCGCTCGCTGCGGCAGCAAAAACTCTAAAACTACTATATTTACAAATAATATAAAGTTTACTGCACTTGAAATACCGCTGACTCATATGTATTGCAGTTTCAGATATGTGCGTATCTTGTCTATGATCTAGTGCCGACCCTGTTTTCCATATTTCACGTTGACAATACGTCGGACTCCGTGTTTTCCATATTTTTTACGTCAGACATATTTTACGGCGGACTCATTTTTCTCTGACGTCAGACTCCGTGTTTTCCATGACTCCGTGTTTTCCACATTTTAAGACTCCGGCTCCGGAACTCCGATCCCGGAGTCTTAAAATATGGAAAACACGGAGTCATATGGAAAACACGGAGTCTGGCGTCAGAGAAAAATGAGTCCGCCGTAAACGAACTTGTCAGGGCATATGTATACCATATCTTTAGGAGATCTACCATATTATCAGGGCCGTCGGCAAATTGTTTTCGTAATTTTTTACCTCCCCCTCCCCGGCTCGCCAACCAAAATAAATAGAAAGTTAATTAATAGCGACTGAAATGTTGTCGGCAAATGCGATACTATACACCCCCAAGTCCCAACCTTAGCCTCTTCGATCGCTGCGGCCCTGCAAGTTGTATATTTAATGTAGTATGCCTGATAATATTTACATTATGCACTAACCTGTCGGAGCAAGGAAAATAAACGCTATTACCATAAACAGTGGATGATAGTTAAAGATTCTAGCGTCGTGAAAATGCCATATGTCAACTTTATAACCGTCATTATAGTGTACCATCCAGTATATAACCAGAGCTATTGCAGTAATCGACAAAATCCATGATATAACCGCTGCAGTCTTAATACGTTCATTTGAAGCCATTGTATTTTCGTTTATTAATGCATGCGCAGTACGTTGTTTTACTCAAGTCAAAAATGTGATGATCAATAATTTCCTATAATCTTCGCTGGTGCTTTATTTATACATGACTTCCTGTCTTCTGAGACTCATGTGACAGTGTAATTAAGATCATGTGTCACTTTGTGCACTTGTTAGACTTGTTAATAAAGGTGTTCTGTTTATTACGGTAATAAATAGAGATGCTTATACTAGCTATACATCAGTATATTGGATAAATGATCTAATTGTATGGTGATAAAAAATGCCAAATGCATGCATGCATGATGGATTCCCTAGTTCCAACAATATGAAACAACAGTCGTTTGTTTGGTACTTGATCTTGATTTGCTTCAAACACGTCATTGAACTGGCTGCGTGCCAGCCTTTCTTATAATTTAGGGTCACGAAATTTAGTAAACCACTGCATGAGTAAAATACAAAAGAACAGTAACTCCGAATAACATTTTTAATTTGAAACGATCTCTTGATCAACTATCAAGTTAGCCTGCGTAGCAGTCGCTTTATTTTTTTTTTATTTTATTTTAGGATATTTTTATTTGAGGATTTTTTTAATGCGAAAAAAAGAGCGGAGAAAAAAACGGCGAAGGGGAAAAACGGGCGAAGGGGGAAAGGGGAAAAATAAAGCGAAAAAAAGAGCGGAGAAAAAAACGGCGAAGGGGAAAAACGGGCGAAGGGGGAAAGGGGAAAAATAAAGCTTTATTTTTCCCCTTTCCCCCTTCGCCCGTTTTTCCCCTTCGCCGTTTTTTTCTCCGCTCTTTTTTTCGC